TTTTAAACTCGATAAATATCTTAATTTCTAAGAACGTATTTCTGATTTAAAGAATACAATTAAAAAAAAAAACAGAGAGCTGGCATTTTATTAAAGTTACGGCACTGTGTCCCTGAGGAAACATTGGTTATGCTTTACAATCCTTTTATTCTACCCAACTTGATTTTTGGTATAATTGAGGTAGGGGGCAGCACCTACGAATTGCATTTAATAGTCACTCCTAAATGTGTGCCAGATGTATTACTTTTTTTTTTTTCTAGATTTAGGGTCCATCCTGTACCTTTATTAAAAAAGCTTAACATTTTAGATGTATTTAATTTTCCTAAATTATTCATTTTGAATTTTAAATCAGGCTTATTTAATAATAGATTACCACATAGTTTTTCTAATTATTTTATAAATAGTTGTCATAGTTATACAACAAGGTATATTACGAATATAATTTAGCCATATCAAAATGCCGAACTAACTTAGGTAAATTTTTGATTTTGTGTATGGGTGTAACATTTTGGAATACAATACCTGTTAAGTTAAGAAAGACAACCTCGAAAAAATTATTTGTTTCAAAACTAAAAAAAAAGATTTTATTCCGAGTGTGAAGATTGATGGTCTGTTTGGAAGATCAATTTTTTTTTTCATTTTACCTTTTTCCCCCCATTTTTTGGACTATCCCAAAAAATATGGGGGGAGGAGTGCCTGGGCCGGGCGCCCCTCTCTCTTGAATTCTTGCCTTATTATATCCAATAAAGCAAATGGAGTGTCAAGATGACCATTACATGACAAACTGATATATTATCCATAAGTTAACAAATTTGTTTCTATTTATGGCTAATAATTATGAAACCTATTTATTTCATGTTATAAATTAATTTAAAATTATTTTAAAAAGTAGTGTTCCTTTGTTTCTCAATAAATAAAACATTGTATAATTTATATTTTTTGAAAATGTGATTAATTAATGTGGTCGTTATCTGAATTGTATATTTTGTGTGAGGAGACAAAGACAACACAAGGTTTTTATAGCCAATTAACTATTCTATTAAAAGCAATATAATAATGATAATATGATAATATATGATTAAAAGAACAATATAATCAACATTATTTAAGAGTACCCATATTTGAACTTGGAGTTATATATTTTCAAATACAATGTCCATATATATATATATATATAGCCACGCTAGTAATAATAATGTGAATAAAAGAGCAATAACTGAAATTGTATATGGTAGCACCATGTTATAAGTAATCAGCAATGCACTATCTATTCAAAATGGCATTTTGTCTGCTTTTGAATATTCATAAATTACTTATTATACTTAAAAAAACTCACCAGCTGTGTGTAAGAAAGACCAGACATCCCAAAAAGGAAAATATATATTGAAAGATGCTTAATTCACACAAAATATTAATATACTGTAATGTATTTCAGAATTCTAATTCAGTAGTAGACTTTAAGAACACTGATTTATTATACTCGGATATTTTGCCACTCCTTGGCCTTCATCAGCGAGAATAAGGAAAACATCATGTATCAATATAATATAGGCTGTCTTATAAAAAAGAATAAAGGTGACGGAGAGCAAATGAGAAATATTATAAAACTGTAAAATGATTGGTCTATTTATCTATGCATACTGAGTATCTACAATATTAAAGAACCAAGGGTGTTAATTGCAGAGACTAGTCAAATAAACTATCCATTGTATTGGCCAGCACTACACAGATAAGATGGTTATTTCAGAGAAATGGATCATATAGAGATTGTAACTGAGCCAACTGTATGAAGACCTAATAATATAACGTATATGCTAGGCCTGTGAATATACCTAGAATAATGAATGAAGCAATGCAGTAATATAATAATAATAGTAATAATAATAACAATAATAATTATTATTATAATTATTATTATTATTATTATTAGTATTATTATTAGTATTATTATTAGTATTATTATTAGTATTATTATTATTATTATTATTATTATTATTATTATTATTATTATTATTATTATTATTATTATTAAGTATATACCTAAATTGACTATACAGTCTTGGGTTTTACTGATTTTGCATTGTTTTAAAAAAAGTGTGTTATATTTTCTTCCTAACAACAGCATAACGATATCGCATCCCAACCAGTTATGCAAGTGTGTTAGATACACTTTCGGTCTAGTGTTTCATTAGGTGATAATCATTTCAGATTTCTTTAATAACTTCAATTGTTAGTAATTTACTAAATTGTGAGAGGTTTACAATAATATACAGATACAATTATTATCTTAAAATACAGAAGAGAAAAAATTGAACAACACACAACACCACAAAATTTAAAAAGACAGATTAAACACAATAAATAAGCAGAAAAAAGGAAAGCCAACAAATTAAAATAATCACAGGAACAATTATTGATTGCCATGTCAATTTTTCTTTCTTATTATTTTATAATGTCGTGTGAGAGGAGAATAAATCGTGCAATAAAAAAGTGGAATTTTTTTTTTCAAAAAATTGCAAGTTAGCCTTGATCATATATTGTTTGTTTAAAAGTTTTGACATAAAGGGTACAGTACTAGATCTGAATCTTTCAAAATTGGTCTTGATTTCGTCAAACATTCGACGGTTACGTAGTGACGTATGGTGAGTGGATTTGTTTGGCTTAAACCAGTGAATGTACCTTATATCTTTGGAAAATCTGCGAACTTAACACATAGATTTTCAAATATTTACGATATTTAAGTGTAGTTAGATTGCAATCAAATAGTGATCGTTCATAGTCAAAGTCATGATCAAATCATTCAAAACCCAAAATAATTCTAATGACTTTCTTTTGGATGGACTCAATTTTCTTGTTTTGCTCCTCATTAATTCTCGAATGCCATACAACCGCGCATGGCCGAACATAACTTGTATACACATCAATTAAATCATTCCTTGCGATACCAGCTTTCTTTAATTTGCTTGGCATGAAAAGTCGTTTACTAGCTTTACTCATAATTTCATTTATAATTTTATCCCATTTGGGATACAAACTCCTAATAGTTTAGTTTCAGATACTGATTCTAAAACATCATCAAATATTCTTAATTGGGGTATGTTAACCTTAGGTCTCTGAAAATTAAAATTCATAGATTTACATTTACCTGGGTGAAGCTTCAGTTTGTTAACATCAGACCATTCAACTAAGTTTTATAGATTATTTTGCATTTGTGATTGGGACAGTTTGTTTTACAACTTCAGCCTGGTTCACGTCGAACTTTTATCTAGATATAGATCCACTTAACTAGTTAAAAGTTCGACGTGAACCACTCAATTATAGCTAGATATAGGAATTAAGTCACTAATACCCATTTCACACTGATGCTATTTTGCAAATATTAACAACTTGTAACAAGTTGTAACCAGGTTTGGATGAGTGTGAAAGCAAAATCCTTGTAAACTTTCCGAGATTTCACAGGGGTCGCCTTAGTTATCTCGGAACAAAAACAGACCATCGCGAGGCCTGTTTCTTTCCCGAGATGTTCCGAGTTGTTGTTGCGCATGCGTCATGTCCCTATTTTGACCTTTTTGCGGGCTGTGTTTTTTTTTTTTTTTTTAGTTCGAATGGCGGCAGCGATGGGAAACGTAGGCCTATCAACATTATTACCTAAAAGAAATATTGCTAAATTTCACATGTCTGCGGATGTAGAAAAAATCACGAGGCTTCGTAATCGTAGAATACGCCGACAGTGAATCATTATGATGCTTGTCGCACTGATTGCCTCTAACAACAATGGTGAGTACCTACCGGCGGGCGGCCCGACTGCGCCTAGCTAGCGTAGGCCTAGGCCTATCTTTCTCGCCAGGACTACAGCAAACGAGCTAGGAGTGGAATTCATTTTACTCTCCGAAGGCTAAGGACCATGGAATAATTATAATCTTGTTAATTCGGTACCAGGCCTAGTTTAGTAGTTGTTATGTAATTCGGACAAGCTACAACTAGCCTAGGCCTACTACTATCTAGTACTATCCTAGGTCTCTCTAGGCCTAAGCCTAGTTTAAAATAGCCTTGGAATTTTTATTGTGATAAAACATCAACAATACAAAATTAGTTACTGCTGTATTGCATGTTTTGATTGAATGAAATGAGTGTTGTTAACAAATCAAAATATTGCTAGGTAGGCCTAGGCCTAGTTAAACATTTACCTGGCAGGAATAGCATGAATTAAACAACAAAGAAGTAAAAAAACCCATTAAAATATGAAAAAATATAAGTTTGGAGTACTAAACTTAATGTAATGGAGCGACCATAGATGAGATGATTGAATATTTGTAGACATCCCTGATAAAAGCATGGTGATAATATATTTAATAACTTAGGTAGTTAATTAAACTATTTAACGTTTGGTCAAGCTTTAAAACCTATAATTACT